GGGTGAGCATGGCTCACATGAGTCTGGCTGCTGGTGGCTACTTTTCTCAGCTGCCAGTTCCACATCAGCCTGTCTCCCAGGACAGTGGCTGCTCAGGTATGAGACCCAGACCTCTGCTCCAGACCCTCATGGGAGGAGGGGCAAGGTTATTCCACTTTCCCTCCCTTCACTACAGAGACACAAAATGTCCCCTCCCAGGCAGGACCTGTATTAGACAATGAGGCCACTGAGAAGGCTCAGAGCTCAGCCTGAATCACATGGAGAGCAGAGAGGAGCAACATAGCCACCCTATCAGTGCTGGGGGCAAGGGGAGCACAGGCGTGCAGAGGCCCTTGGGGCATGGGGGTCAAGGAGGGCTTCCTGGAGGAGGCACACAGTGGCATTCAGCCTTTTACAGAGCGAGGCACACCCACTGGAGCATCACCACCAGTCCACCACCCCCCGTAGCATCCGGTCTGCAGCAGGCACAGCCAACAGAAACACCCCTCATCCTGGTGGAGGCAAAAGGTGACAAGTGCCTGGAGAATCAGGGGCCGTGACTTCAGGTCCAGCTGCACACCCACGGGTTCAAACCATATACACAAGAATCTGTTAGGACTGGCCTGGTGGCGTAGTGGTTAAGTCACACATTCCACTTCAGCAGCCCAGGGTTCACCAGTTCCGATCCTGGGCGTGGATTTGCGCACCGCTTGTCAAGCAATGCTGTGGCAGGGGTCCCACATATAAAGTAGAGGAAGTTGGGCACGAATGTTAACTCAGGGCCAGTCTTCCTCAAAAAAAGAGAATCCATACCCACCCACCCCCCCCCCCCCCATTTGCCTCTGCAAGGGCTCTTCTCTCAGCTGACTCGCCCCTTCTTTTGGAAAATGTAGTTTTTAATAAAAAATATATTAATGTTGACATGTAATAAGTTTTTAATTTCTATTTTTAAATGAATTAATATAAATTTCCCTGCTTGTAAATATTAATAGCTATAGCACATAAACAGAAGCTTTTGGGGCTCCTCTGTAATGTAGGAATGTAAAGAGGCCCTGAAGCTTACCTGCCAGTGACCCCACCCTACCTTCCCTCCACTGGAGAGAGAAAGGGGTCTCTGGGGGCCGCTGGGTGAGGGACCAAGTGTTCAGAGCCTATGTGGATCTTGAGTGAGGAGCGCGAACATGACCTGGGCTCAGGTCTTTAGGTGGAGGCTGGAGGCCTCGCCCTCCTCTCCCACACTTGTTGCAGGGACTGAAGTAAAGACCATTGAAACGGGCTAATCACAGGTGGGGACTTGGGTCCACCTTCCCAGCTCCGGGTTTCACTGCTTAGTACCGTTCAACTTTGAACTAGAATGCTAGATTACTCCCCCAAGTGATCCTTTGCCCGCAAACAACAAGGACAACTTGGCTCGTTATTAAAGTCTAGATTCTCAGAAATAAAGATCACCTGATGGAAATCCATCATATTGGAGAAAACAGTGATTTCTAAAGCTTAGTACTCTATCTAGTGTCCAAGGTTCAGGGCCGCATCAGTTCCCCAGTGACAAATTTATGGTTGGTGATGATTAGCAGGGCTTCTTGTAAATTGTGATTCTTTGGCTGGGAATGGAAATTCAATCTCCCTTTCTTAATCATGTATAAGCCTGAGCTTAATCAGGGGCCCTTGGGTTCTTCCTAGCTTAGGAAGAAAGCACAGATCTGCTTTATTCAGCATCAATGTCCTGTGCCAGCCACAGGACAACCCTGGGAAATTAACATGGCATGGTGGCATAGGGGAGACATGGGGACTATAACCCAAGAATCAGGAAGCTTTGTAGAAGTGGTGGAGTTTAAGAGAGGCCTAGGATTTTGTTTGTAGAAGACGGGAGAAGCAAGGGGTGGATGGGGCACTTCTGGGGGATGCTCAGCAGGCATTGTGGGATTGCAGGCCAACGGAGTATAGGAGGTGGTGAGAGACGAAGCTGGGAAGAAGCTGGAACACCAGCCTTTTGTGCATTTGTGGGCAGCAGGGAGCCGCAAAACCAAATGAGCAAGGAGTGTGGGGGGGGGGGGGGAGTGACCCTGGACTCAGCCCACCATTGACAGTAGCCATTGATGAGGTCAGAGAGGCTGCTTGGTGGCCACAACTCAGTGGCCAAATCCTCGCCAGGCAAGAGTCTCTCAGACCTGATGAGAGATTGAATATGTCTTAGTGACCTGAGAGCGTGCCTCTGTCTGGCCTAGCTAGGGCCCCATGAGGAGCCACACTTTCTCCAGATCTGCAAGAGAAGGCACCGGCCTTCAGAAGTCAGTGCCCACATAGAAAGATTTGGTCTCAGTGATTGAATACCTACCGTATATGGCACTTCCCTCTCTGAGAAGATTCATGCCCACGTCTGCCTGACTTTACAGTGACCTTTCTAAGAAAGCCACGTGCTGGGGCTGGCTTGTGCACATTCTTCCCAGCTCCACCTTCAGTGTTGTCTCCCTGGCAGCTTGAAATCAGACGCGGTTGGAGTATTCACCCCACAGAAATTGGGAAATGTTGCAAATCAGTCCCCACCCCAACCCCCCCCCCCCCGCCCCCGCCACTTGTTAAACATCTCTCAGCATGCCCTCTCTTTCTCCCACCCGACTTTGCAGACACGCACACATGGCGTCTTGGATTTTAGTGAGAGGGAAGCGCAGCCCTCTCCAGATGAACTTGTAGCTTCCGGTGAGGAGCCATGGCATTGAGCGCTTTGCTTATTCAGCTGTCGGTTAGTTGGTCATACTCAACGTCAGTGTAGCAGTTTGGTTAGAATGAGTAAGAAAATCAAGGTGAAGGAGTAATGAGACTAGTAAAGTCAGATGGAACCAGGGGTGAGGCTGCTGAGCAAAGTGCAGGCTTCAGACTTTTTCGTATCTTTATTGAAGCTGCCAGGTGTTTGTCTTTTTAAAAATATGTCAATTAGGAGAAGGCATTTTAGAGCACAAGCTCTCCTCCCACATTCCTTGATCAGTGAATAAAGTTTCTGCTCTGCTGTTCTGAACCCAGTCTTGTAAAAATAAATAAATAAATAACGTCAATTCTCAGTTGCCCCCTGCCCCTGCTTAAAGGGGACAAGGTCAAGATTGAGCTAGTCCTCACCTTGAACAGGAGGCCAGTGAGCCACCTGGAGAAGGAGGCCGCCTGTGAGTCCCCGTCTGCGGGTTCCTTCCCTCTGTCCAAGGCCGGCCCTTCTCGGGTGGGACACGGAAGTCAGGTCTCAGGGCTGATGTGGGCAGCCTGCAGCTCTTCCTTTCATCTGCCGTTAGCCTCTTGATGGACTTGTGGCCTACAACCTCTCACTTGACCCCTGACCTCATAAATTCTGGAAACTCCTCACAAATCACCAGGAAGATAAACATCAACTGGGGTCAACTGAAGGAGGTCCAAACCACTCCAGGCAGTCAGGGAGGAGAGGTCAAGTCTTCGTTGTGGGGAGAGTGATGTCCTGGGAACTGTGGCTGACTGAGGACAGGGGCCAAGTGGCCCACCCCAGGGGACCCTTGTTCTCCCCAATCATACCAGTGCCCTCAGACGTGTTTCAACCTAATTCTCGGCGTTCACTGACTGGGCAGGGTGTGGAGGCCAGGCCTCCAGAGACCCGAGGCAAATGGTCCGTAGTCCCTGCCCTTGAAACCCATGGGCAGCTCAGCTCTGCACTCAGCAAGGCCCCCCGGGGGTTTATAGTCCGAGGCTCTGGTTCAAGTCCTCGTGGTGTCTCTCAGCGCACCATGGGCCCCTGGGCAGATGTCTCTGAAGGGGGTACTGGCCTTCATAGGGGACAAGGGACCCCAGAACGTGCAGGGGGTCTTGTGGCTGTCCGGGGTTGGAAGCCACAGTGGAGACTCTGGGAGGAGAGGAGACAGGGCATCGACTGGCCTTGAGAAGGACAGGGCTTCCAAGCCCAGCGGGAGGACAAGCTGGAAGGGCCTGCCAGGAAAGGCCAACATGGGCAAGGCTCCCGATGGAAGAGCCTTGCTGCAGCTGCAGCTGGAGGCACTGCGGCAGGCAGTGGGCTGGCCCAGCCCTGGCACCCTGTAGCCATCTCCCCTTCCTGAAATCTCCCAACCAGCAGAGAGGTCAGTCACTGACTGCCCTTTTCAGATGAGGCCTCAGAGAAAAAGGTACCTGAGGTTTGCAAACATTTTTGCTTTAAAAAGTAGCATCTGCCAACCAGCAGGAATCTCCAGCTAAGATTAGGAGCCAAGTGATGCATGTGCTCTCTGAGAACTGAGGGGCGTGCGGATGGAGCTGGAGGCTGATGCCAGGTCATGCAAGGCTCTGCGCATAGGGACAAGGGTTGTGTGGGTTCTGGGGAGCACTACCATGAGCAGATACATCCTGAGACCCCCTCTGGCGGCTGGGAGGTCATGTGCTGTTTAGGGGGTGGCCCTGGGGCTGGCAAGGACGAGCCTCTGCTGCCCTGACTTCCAGCTCTGACAGAGATGGCTAGGTGGGACTGACCGTGCCTCCAGATATGACAACTGGAGGTGGGCCAGGGCATGTGAGCTCAGGGCTGCAGCCCACCCACTCAGCACCCTGACCCATCAGCACTTCCTTCTGGGCCCAGCCAGCAACAAAAGTCTCTGCCTGCCTCACGGGGCACGCAGCATCCCTATGCAAACTGAAAATTGTTTCAGTGCCACCCACACCTGCTTTAGTGGGAAACTGTCTGGAGCCTTGGCCTAAAAGCATTTCCATAGACCAGACCCCATAATCTGACAGGACAAGAGTGTTTCCTCTGTAAGTCCCAGGGGTCATTTACAGTGCAGCTCTCAGAGCAAGGCCTGGCTCTAGTCCTGGGCACCATGTCCTCGGGCTCTCCCATAGGGGAACTCCATCTGGATGGCAAGGCGCACACCCATGTGTGTGTGTGGTATCTGTGCTAACAGCAGCCCAAGAACACACCATTGGATTGTGACGTGTCATTTGCTATCTCTTTTCATCCTGAAATTTTCTCTCTCCCTCTCTCCCTGGCCCCCAACCTCTCTCTTGTCTGTCTCTCTTCCCAGAGGGTATGAACTGCATGAACAAAGACCATGGCTGTGCCCACATCTGCCGAGAGACGCCCAAAGGTGGGGTGGCCTGCGACTGCAGGCCCGGCTTTGACCTTGCCCCAAACCAGAAGGACTGCACACGTAGGTAGATGGAGGCAAATGGGTCAGACATCCCCACGCGTCTCCTACCATTGCTTTGTGGGGGGGGCTGTCCAGTGTACTGGACATCAGCCAGGGAGGGCTCAGCCTCTCGAGGTGGAAAGAAGGGCAGGGCCCCTGAAGGAGGCTGGGGAGGCACAAGGGATGGGGCCTGTGAACCCCAGGCTTGGGGTTTTCCCCACCCAGCATAACACCACCAACCACCACGGCCCCAGAGCTGGGCTGTATCTTATGTAGGGTCCCATGTGATAGCCCCGCCAGTGCTTATTGGAACCCCTTCCTTCCCCCAACCCCAGAGACTCATTGGCCCTGAGCTTAAGCTCTCTAGTGGGAATGCAGGGACTATGGGTTTCTTGATGGTCCAGGGCAGCCCTTGGTAACAGGATGGTATAAAGAAGAAAAGGAGCTTGGTTCTGCTGTGTCCCAGTCTGGGCTGTGCTGACTTTATTTCCAGGATCAAAGGTCAGAACTGTCAGTCTACCCCTGCAGGGCTCACTGTAAATGGTGATATCCTGGAAGATCTATGTTCAATGAGGCCTCTGGCCAAAGATACCACTTCAGGACCTGCTTGGAGGTCAGCCTGCGGGACTCGAGTGAAATGCACCTCTTCGCGTGGTCACCCAGCTCCCCAGGAGGAATGGGAGTCAGCAAACCAAGTAGGACAGGAGCCAAACACACTCAGCTAGTCCTCAGAAGCTTCAGACCCAGCGCAGCCTCCCAACAGCTGTGTAGGGAGATGAGGGATGTGGCCTCTGCCCAGTGCAGCCGGGATACGCAGATTGATGTAATGTTTGCCCTGTGTCTGCAAGGAGCTGAGGGAGGCTGGTGTGGGCACTGCCCATCTCTATCAGAGAAAGTGCTTCATGCCAGGCCCACTTTCTGATGCAGGAAATGGTTTGGAGGAGTCCAGTTCAACTCTCAATAGAGAAAATGGTCCCAACCCAGCTATTGAAACGGAAGACTGAGGCTGACCAGCTCTCATAAAGAAAATGGCCTTTCTTTCCATCCTTCATTCGCTGGAGACAGCTGGCCCTTGTTGGTCCACCTTCCTTAGTCATTGTGATTCAGTTGTCATCAGCTCTTCTTGGGGTAACTCGCCACACCTTTCCCAACTCATGACTTCTCAAACTGTCTCCAAGGCCTTGAGGGCTCACGTGTATCAGACGCAGTCCCTGTCTCCCAGGAGCTCCTGCTGCAGCCCCACTCATGATTTGTCCATTCCCCACAATGAAGACACTTCCTTCTGCCCGGGTATGGTCCAAGATGTAAACCAGCCTTCGTCTTTGCTCCTGGTCTTTCCTCTGGGATAGCAAAGAGAAACATGTATGCTGTCACCAAGGGCAGGACCAAACAGGGACAGTGCTGACCAAGAAATGCCCAGCCCCAGCCCCAGGACTCCAGCCAGGCCTCCTCTCCTCTATACCAGGAGGATTCCTTTAGCTCCAGAGAAACCTTCTGCCACCTGGCAACTTTCAGAACAGAAAATGATTAATTCCAGCTTTCCCAGTCCTCCCTGTTGGGAAGCTTCCTCAGGACAAAGGCCAAGGACAAGCATATGTGAAGTGGGCAGGCTCATTGACAGGCTCGGCCAGAAGGAAGATGCTTCCCTTTAGTCAGACTAGCTGATACCCGCTTTGGCCAAGCCCTGAGCTGGGTGCTGGGAAGAGGGCTTCAAGCCGTGCCATGGAACGTGGCTGGACTGACTGACTCGCCACCTGCTTCTTTAATTCTGTCTGGGACAAGTGCTACAAGGGGACAGTTTGTTCAGAGAGCATCTCCTGAGGGGCCAACACGGTCTGAGAGGTCAGCAACAGGCGGCGCTCCGTGAGTGGTAAGACACCCGGACAAAGAAGAGCTAAGCCTGGACGTTTGCTGGAGTGAGAAACAGCAGCCCCACCCTCCTCGCTAGGCGCTGGGTACTGCCAAGGCGTGCGGAGAGTCTGCTGCCAATCTTGGCCCGGCAGTGCTCCTGTGAAGGGCTTGCACAGATAACTGTCCGGCCAGTCAGCTCCGGTTCCTTCTGTGTGGTCAGTGTGCCGGGCTTAGTAGAACATTAGCCCTGAGACTTTCATTCTAACCTTTACGGGCACTGGAGGTGCAGGAAGTTCTGCATCTGGACTTGGGCTGGGAGCTGAGGCCTGGCCCTGCCAGCCGCCCTGGACCAGCGGGACCACAGGACTCTGCCCTAAAGTCTCTCATCCCTCCAGAGCCCAGGGCTAGTCCAGGGCCAGAGGAGGTTTCTCCATCCTTCTCTTGATCCTCCCAGAGCTTGGGGCTCAGATGTTTATTTCTGTTTCCACAGAGCCTACAAGCTGCAGGCTTTCCAGGTGCTGGCGTGCTCCGCCCTCGGGGGGCCGTGAGAGCACAAACACCTATGTGGAGGGAGTGAGGGACCCTGAGCATGGCCCTCCCTTGAGTTGCGTCAGACAGGTGTGTCCTCAGAGTCGCTTACAGGTGCAGCCAATCTCCTGGAACCCAGAGCTTTGGAAGAACTGTCTGGAACATTCTCACTACCTCCTCACCGGCTCCACCCCTGCCCACTCTGAAATGGGGCTTTTCTCAGTCTGGAAAGGCACGTGGCGGCCAGCCCAAGGCAGGGGTCTGCCTGGGTCTCTCCCCTCACCTGAGATCCATGCTAAGTGGCAGCCCCTGGAACCCTTGGCTTCCCTGGGGCCCTTCCCATTTCAGAGATGAGTGTGAACTCCCATCTGCCAGGCTCCCAGGAATGCTAAGAAAAGAGATGCTTCTGTGGAGAAGGGGCTGAGGGCTTTGTGCTCAAAGCCCCATTTGTGTTTCTTGAAGGAGTTCTGCAGGTCCTTGAAATTTCACCCTGGATGTTCAGGCCCTCCTTCGGACAGTCGTTAGCTCCCTGTGAAAGAGGCAGCCCGTTAGAGCCTCTGTCTGCCGAGGACGGCATCTGGGACACTGAGCAGGAACCATTCTCTTTATGTCCTTGCTCCTCAGCTGGCAGGGAGACTGCATGTATCCAGGCTGACAGGGCCACCGTCACTCCGCACAGTGCCCCTGGAGGCTCCGTGCTGCTCTCTGGGTGAAAGGAGACATTCCTGGGAAATGCAGCTGCGGAACTCAGTTCTGAAATGCTTGGAATCATTCACCAGGGAGTTGCCACCAAATGACTTCCCTCTGGTACAAGCCCTGCTCATGGGTCAACCTGCTAGAACATCATTAATTCAGACTCTGCCAATTTGGAATTCTCAGCCCCTCTGACTGTGGTTGCTCTGAGATTTATTTTTGCATATTGGATTGTTATTAAAGTTTTGCCAGGAAATCAAGAGAGTAGATAGAATTCTGGACAAAGGCTGTTATCCAAGAGGACGCCCTGTCCGCGAGGCCCTAGTGCGCCATTTGCATACAGATGACAGGCTCTCTGTTGTCTTACGGAGTAGAGCAGGGCCTGCGGTAACCCCTCCTGCAGAGATCGGGCATCTCCCTTAGGGATAGCCCTTGCCTGGAAAGTGATGACAGTGTCTTTCCTTTTAAATAAACTTGAACTTATCATTTTTCCTACTTCAGACTGGCTTCTTTTTGTTCAGCCCTATTTCAGCCGACCCAGGTTGCTGATGCTGCGAAACATCTTAAGATTCTGGGCTGACCGGCACCAGCTCCTCCAGGCCATAGGCATCACAAACTATGTAACATGCTGAAATAAAAGGTCATTTTCAAAACTGCTCCTCAGATGACATGAATTTGCATAAGTTCTGTCTGTTTGGACATGGCCTAGGGAGGATTAGGGCTTTGAAGGGATAGAGTTTGAGATGGCAGCTGGGACTTGGAGAGAATGGACATCCGTGGGGATGTCCTTCCTCACACCACAGGACGTCAGCAGAGGAAAGAAAGCTCTGCAAGAACTGAGGAAACGAGGGTCCCCTCTCACCACGGGCCCCCGCCCTCCCCTTACCTTACTGACTATACTGGGTATTAACAGACATTTGCTGCATCGAGACAGGCTATTTTAAAGTGTCTTTTGCAATCTAGGAAGGTTAAAATTGTCCAACTTATCCCTTTCTTCAACTAACGCCATCTGAGTCATCAGCTGTCTGCTTGAAGCCCAGATGACTCAAAGTCCATTCTCTTTCCCACCCCAGTTCACCTCTAGGGAGGGAGCAGTTCCACCCAAGACCTCGAGGGGCTGAAGTCTCGGGAGATGTGTGTCTAGTCACTGACTATCTTGTGCCCTCACTTCCCTCCCCCATCCCTTACAAGACACAACCAACACCAATAAGCTAATTGTTTTTGTTATCGTTCTGTTTATACACACGTATGTACACTTTGGGCCTAACTAGTAACCTGTAACTATGGAAACGGAGGCTGCCAGCACAGCTGTGAGGACACGGACACAGGCCCCATGTGTGGCTGCCACCAGAAGTACGCCCTCCACTCGGACGGCCGGACATGCATTGGTAAGTTGGCGCCCTTGCCGTGCACGAGCGCTCTTGTGCCACCCAGCCCACCGTGGGGTGTACCATGTGGCCTTGACATCAGCCAGCACCCCGCCGTGTCCCCGTTTCCAAGAAGGAAGCTTAAGGGAAACAGAATAGGAACGCCTTGCAGTACTAAAGGGGCTGGCAGGCATTCCCAAGGGAAACTTTCTGTGGAGACTTAGTCAGGGTCGCTCAGCCACCAGGACCAAGGGCCTCTGCTTTGTGTCACTGCAGGTTTGCTGTGTGTCTTGGTCCTTGGCGTCGGGGGTGGTTGCAGGCACGTGGTCCATAGCGGGGAGGAAGGTGTGTGTGCCTAAGGAGGGCTGCTTCTGTTCCTGAAGCACAGGTGTTTCCTCCCCTAATACGGAAACACAGTCAGATGCATTTAACCTGCCTAACGGCCCCATTCCTGACATGCGCTGCCCGCAGCAATCTGGAAAACCAGGAGCTTTCCTCAGAAAACTGCCTTCGGTCTTCGTTGTCTAGAACACCAGGGGACGTGGGCTGGTGTGGGTCCTGGGGGGCTCTGGGTTGTTAACTGCTTTCCATTCCTGAGCTAACGGGGTTCTCACCAGACTTCCTCTCCCTCCTGGAGTTCATTCTGCTCAGCGATGCCCTCTCCCGTCACCTCACCTGTTACATGGAGTCTCGATACCTCCTTCCTCCTGGTCCTTATTTCCAAGGGGAAGCTTGAATATTTGTGATTATCTCATGCTATACTCACGAGTAGGTTTTTTGCCCACTCAAAAATATAGGCAAATTTTTTAACTGAGAAAAAGAGGAATTTCAAAGTTGGTGCCCAGAGTTCATCCTCTTCTTTCTCTTTAATGCTGGAAAACTTTAGAAATCCACAGGTCAGTTATCATATTTATTAAAAAGAAAACAAAAGGCCCCATTTCTTATTATCAACTCAGAAGATATTTCTTGAGGGATTTTCAAGTAACAGAAAAGGGGTTGGCAAGCGAGCAAAGCCATGAGGCCCAGAGTTTGCTGCTGCGTCCTGTCCCCTGTGACTCTGCTCCCTCGTGTCCTGGGAGGCGGGCAGAGGCGCCTGGCGGGGCCCCAGCGGTCCCCTCCTGGTCCAGGGCTGTCATCCCAGCTGCTGCCTGCCTGGTTCTCCCTTCCTCTGTGTGGTCTCTCCTCTCAGACAGCCGTTTTTGGTTTCATTTTATCTCATTCCTCCTGCTTTTCTGGTGATGGTCCCTGATTGCCTGTCTTGTCTGATAACTGACGTTCATTAATTATTTTCAGAGCCAAAAGCCAAACCAAACCAAACAACCGAAAAAAAAATTCAAAGCAAAACCCGATCTCAGACCAGTGTCTCTATTGCAGCCTGATCCCATCTAGAACCTCCTGTCCCGCCTCTCTGCCTGTCTCCGCTGTCCTGATGGGGGCTCTCCCAGGCCCACCAGCCCCTTCCTGTCTTGTCTGCTGGGGTCCCCCTCAGTGTTTGCCTCTGCAGCCTCTGCCGGCCATGGGCCAGCGCAAACAGCTGCTGGGCCAGACCACCCCCCCCAGCCTCGTCTAACACATCTTGTCTTTGTCCACCTGACTCATCCTTCCTTGTTTTTTATCTTTTAGTGTCTGCTGCATGTGAAGGTCCCTGCTTGGCTCTACTTTCTAATGTAACTTCCCTCCCACCCCCCTGAGAATCCTTTCCCAGACCAGACCAGCTCCTGAGCTGTTGCTCCCTGCTGGCCAGGAGACCCTTCATCTGACTTTGCTCACTCCTCCTGAGGTTCCACACACCTCCCACGGAGCAAGATACACAACCAGCTAACCTCACGCACTCCTCCTCAAGAAGCTTCTTGGCGTGGCTTCGTGCCGAGCGGCCAGAACGCTCCCCAGCCTGCCTGGCCGTCTCCCTCTGCACGCTCCTCAACAGACTGACCCCTCTTTGCAACCCCTCGTTGAGCACTTGAATGTCTAGCTCTAGTCCTCTATAGACAAGCAGGCAACCAGCGCTGCCCAAATCGATCCCTGGTTTTTCTGTGTCTGTCTGATGGGTTCCACTGTTGTGTGTGTGCTTTTGTTCCTTCGTATGTTTGTTCTTAATTTGCATGAGTGTTTGACACACTGTCACGCCCTTGAGACAGGGCATTTGCCGTCCAGGCGCATCCATCACCGGACCTCGCAGCCCTGTCCCCTTGTCCTGTGCCTTGTCCTGTGCCTGCCTCTCCAGCTTGAGCCGGGGGTGTCTATAATGGCTTATGTCTTCCTGAGCACCAAGGTGGGGCTGTCTGCTTCTGTGGCCCTCTGCAGATGGTCCACTCTGACCTCAGCCGCCTCCTCTATTTGCTTGCAGATGGGCCCTGTGTCCCATCTGTGTCTTTTTGTGGTCATGCCCTTTTCTGCATCCCCCTCCCACCCTGCTGCCTCTTTGCTCTGCCCTGAACACGCCCACCTTGGAGGTTCCTGGGATTAGCCCCTTGGCGAGGACACCGCGCTGGCCCAGCATGCTGTGTTGGCTTTGTGTGCGCCACGCCGAGAGGCTGACTGTCTTGGGCCGCGGGAAGTGGGCTCTCATTAACCACCGGCTCCGTGTTTGTCCCTTACTTGTGTTTTAGAGAAGGATGAGGCTGCAATTGAGCGCTCTCAGTTCAATGCCACGTCAGTAGCTGATGTGGACAAGCGGGTGAAACGGCGGCTACTCATGGGTAACACTTTTCTTCCACTTCCTTTGTTGTTCTTGCACCTTTGTTCGTGTGTGTGTCTGTGTCTGTGTCTGTGTGTGTGTGTGTGGTGTGTCCTGGTTGTGGGACATCTGAGTTTGTATGTGCTGGTGTATCGGGCTGTGAGTGTGTGTGCTGGCATGTAGGGTGTGTGTCTGTATGTCCCTGTGTGTGCGGTCACACATGCCATGTGTGAGTGTGGGGGGCTGCACTCCAGATGTGAACTCACTTTTTCCTTTTTAAAGTTTTTACCCTTCATCAAACACATGTATTTCTTTGTGTATTTGTAGCAGAGAACCCAGAGCCATGTCAGGTGGCCTCTGCATGTGGCTGTAAACCTCCTCTGCTTGCGGGAACACCCACACTGGCAGTTAGGATCGCAGGATCAGCCCAGCAGCACTGAGACACAGAAGCAAAGGAGGGCCTCAGTGTAGAACAGGAATTCAGGTGGCACGTGCCTTGTCCGTCTCCACACCTAGGAGAAAAGCCACATCCAGGGAAAAAAAGCCACTTCTAGGTTGGGGCGTGGGGGTCTCAGGGACGTCCAATCCGCCCTGCTCACTTTATAGTTGGGAAGTCTGCTACCCAGAGTGGGGAAGCCTAGTTAAGGTCATCTCACGGGCCCAGGTGAAAGCAGGACTCACTCAGCCCCTTGTGGCCCCAAGGCTTCCCAACTCCATGAATGACCCTGGCCTGAGCTTGCTGGGCTACAGCCTTGGCCCACTTTTCCATGGTCCCTCCTTGGGCACCCGCTTGCTTTGGGTGGGTCTGTGTGAGGTTGGCTATGCTCTGAGCACTGTCCCTGGGCTGGATCTAGACTCTAGGAAGGTACGCCCAGAAACACCTGGTGCCACTCAGGGTGCCTCAGGAGGCCTGCTGGCATGGCTGAGCCTGGGCAGTGTGCAGAAAAAGGAAGGAGGAGGAGAAAATGTCTGCTCTGCACCTGCACTCAGGCTACAGAACAGAAAAGTAGGTCTGCTCCCTCACTCATTCATTCTTCTCTCCCTCAGTCGGCCCACAGTTCTGGGGTTGCTGGCCAAGGGTGGCGGCAACTGCCCAGGCCTCTGGAGTACCTCTGGAGTAGGGATGCCTGGGATTGTCACAGCCTTCTTTGTGGCATTCTAATAAGCTCGCACTTGGGAAGTGAGGGGCCAGGCAGTGCCTTTCCCCTGTCTCAGAGGAGGAAACTGAGGTTCATTGGGGTGCCCTGGCTTGCCCAAGGTTATACAATACCCTGTATAGCTGAGCTTAGCCCAGAGGTCGTGGCTGTGTGTACCGTCTTAACTGTCGGGGTCACAAGACCATGGAAGTCAGAGCCTGAACATCCCAGATAGGTCACCTAGCTTCGTGGTCCTCATATGGACCTCAAAGGAGCCCAGGCGTGGCCCCCTGCGTTCCCACCTTTCTGATTATAGAAATCCCCACCACACCCCCTTAGAGCCTGTCCTGGCCTACAGACAGAAGAGACCTCTCCTCCTCTGGTCTCCCTACAATACTTAGAACAGGGGACAAGAGCCAATAGCCAAGGCTCCACACCCAGAACTTGGTAACCATCCTCAGAGGCTTCTGTGAAAGGCACTATCTAGAGCACAGGTGAGCCCTCCCTCAGGAGCTCATAATTCTTAGTACCTGTCTCCTCTGAGAGCAGCCCGTGTGATACAGACTTAGGCCTTCAAGCCCTAACTAGTAGCCCCAGTGAGGCCTGGCTGCTCCCAGGCTGTATTAATATAGGCAAGGAATGGAGAACAAGGGAGATAACGATATCCGTCCTGTGCTGTGCTGGTCAGATCACACCTGGGGCGTTGCACTCAGAGCCCAGCCCCTGCATGGAGAGAGCAGCCTGGATGGTGAAGGGAATCAGAGTTGGGTCAGTGTCATTGGCCTGTGGGAGGGAGCACAGGCAGTTTATCCCACTGGATCCTGGGACCGATGGGCCGCTTGAGCCCTGTTTTAGGTCCTGGGAGGGGACGGGGGCAGATCAGGCAGAGGGGGAAGGGCCTCGTTCTTTGGCCCAGTAGCAGAAGAGGAAGGTGAGATGCTGGAGTTTCCCAGCAAGGTCAGACCCTGGGCCGCCCGGCTCCAGAGTCTGTGCCCTTGACTCCTGCGCTGGCCAGCTCCTCCTGAGAGAACCAGGACGAGCGACTGTTGTGAGAGAAGTCTGGGGTACCGGCATGCCCGGAATGATCTGATGAGAGCAGTGCCGTGTAGTCACGGGCAGGGTTCCGCCAGAGCAGGGGACACGTGCTACAGTCCCCTGGTGGCTGAGATGGCCTGGCCCATGTCTGTCAGCCGTGGGACGCCAGTTATCCCCTGTGTTGATGGGGCTTGTCAGGGTGGGCAGGAAAGGCCTGAGAGAGCGCCCCCTCTCCTCTCCAGAGGTGAGTGGCTGCAGGGCAGCCCTTCCAGCCCCGTGGAGTTCCATGAGCCGTGCGCATTGCCACTCTCCATGATGACCACACGTCGGCAATAGGCTGGCCCTAGGCTCGGGGTGAGACCCCTTCTCTTTCTCAGGGAGGGTAAGTGGCTTCGTGCTCCAGTTTACCTTCCCCCAAATGGAGGAGTAGTTAGGTGCCTTGTGCTATTATAGGCCATTTGACTCAGAATTATTTCAGAAATAGTTTGTGCCCAGACCACAAAGGGCACAGGTCCCTTAGACATCTGCCAGCAGCCTCACCTCTTAACACGGCCGCGAGCCAGGAACCAAGATGTATGAACTGAAACCTGGGCCCTCTTCCTCATTTGAGCCTCTCTGCTCCTCTCTTAGAACCTGCCTGCTCCTTGTTTACCCAAGAGCTGGTGTTTGGTTCCCGAGTTTGGAACCACGAGCACAAGCACTGACTGAAATCCTGCAGTGTCGCCCCCACTAATTATGGCACTGGCTGCTTTCCTGGGGCCCTGGGAGGCTCCAGCCCGGTTGGCACGGGGAGGTAGAGAAGGCTGTCTCTGTAAAGCACAGGGAGGACATGGGGCTCCGAGGGGTAAAGTGGTCACTCAGGCGCTCAAGGCCTGCAGTGGCTCAGGAGGCTGCAGTCGGGATTCTGGCTCCACAGAAGGGGACAGGGCCGCAGGGGTCAGGAGCGGAGCGCTGCAGGTGGTAGACACAGTTGTTGTCAGTCTAGAGTGTGGGTGGAATAACACCCTCCAGAGAGCTGGGGGGCTGGGTGCTCCGGAGCGCCTCAGCCTGGGGCCATTCGGGGCCAAGTGGCCCTGCCCCACCCTTGGGGTCTCAGTTGCAGCCAGTCATTGCTGTTTCTAATCACTGCAAGTCCCTGAGCACAAGGTGAGAACAGGCAGTTATGTTTCCTTTAAAGAAGCCTCAAAATATGTCATCAATTTTAGATCCCCATTAAAATCAGTTAAAATGTTTGGATTTAAGGGTTGGAGTGATCAGTTTCATTATCTGGCTGACATTCTTGTGTGAAACATCTGAGTACTAGGCTGAGTTTACCACAGGCCCCCCGGGCCCCCACTCGCAGCGCAACTGGAGAGACGCTGCGAGGCACCTGGCCCACCCCAGGTCTGAAGTCAGTTCCTCTCCCACAGGTATGCTTAGGGTAGATGCCATCTTCGTTTCCTGCTGCTGCTGTTAACAAGTCACCACAGTATTGGTGCCTTAAAACAACATAAATGTATTATATTCTGTAGGTCAGAAATTTGACTTGAGATTCACTGGGCTAAAATCAAGGTGTCGGCAAAGGTTGCATTTTTTTCAGAGGCTCTAGGGGTGAATCCATTTCCTTGCCTTTTCCAGCTTCTAGAGGCGCCCACATTCCTCGGCTCGTGGCCCTTCATCCATCTTCAAAGCCAACAGCATATGTCTCTCTGTCCCTGCTTCTGTCACCACGTCTCTTTCTCTGACCCCCTTCTTCCACTTTTAAGGACCCTTCTGACCACACTGGACCCACCCAGATAATCCAGGATGCTCTCTCATCTCACAATCCTTAATTTGTCACATCTGCAAAGTTCCTTTTGCCACATAGGGTCACAGGGGATTAAGACCTGGACATTTTAGGGAGTTAGTCTGCTGAACACAGATGATTCAAACCTGGGCTGTGAGGAACCTCCCGGGTCATCCGGTTGCTGTGAACCCTACTGAGGCAGAGCCCACCTCTGCCCTCTTCACTGGCTTATCCCCTGGGCCACCAGTGTCATAGCACAGGGCAGAGGCTAGAAGTGTGGGATGTGCTGGACCCTGGACCAGACGGCACAGGAAGCCCCACTCCTGCCCTGCCTCCTTCAGGGGGGCTTCCAGCCTCTGCCGTCCCCTTAAGTCCCCCCAGCCGTGATCATCCCCTGCTTCCTCAGGGTCTCAGTGCACTGAGGCCACTCCCGCTGGCAGCCTGTTGCTCCTCACCATAAGTGACACCACTTTACAGTTTGCAGGGTGCTTTCCAGTCAGCCCTGTGCAGTGAGTCCTCCCACCGCCCTATCAGGCAGCTCTCCCCACTTACAGAGGAAGAAGTGAGGCCCTGAGAAGAGCAGAGGCGCACCCCAGGCCATGCAATCATGAGCCAAGTCCGGGCCACAGGCAGAGACCTGCGAAGCCCCAGTCCAGGGCCCTGAGGCAGGAGCAGGGCAGGCCTGAGGTCGGCACAGGGCTCAGATATGTAGCTCAGCAGCCATTCCAGGTGGACTCTTCCCTCCTGAAGGTGCTGGACAGCAGACTTGCAGCCAGCCCGTTCCAGGGGCCCCTGAGTTCAACAGAGCAGAGCTCCAGGCCCAGTGAGCACAGCAAGGGTTAACCCTTAGCCCCGGCTTCCTCTGGGCCTTGCACTGCTCCCCGCCTTCACTCACATCACAGCCACCCTGAGAGTGGCACTGAAGTGATTCCCATTTTACAGAGAGGAAACTGAGGCACAGAAGGATAGCTAGGAAGTTCTCTCCCTGCACTCCCACAGCTGGCACCTGCCCATCTCCCTGACCTCTCCTCCTCTGAGCCCAGGTTTCCCTTCGGGGAATGGGCATGCTCCCTTCTCCTGGCCAGG